CTGTATGTATGTATGTATGAATGTATACATATATAACTTTCTGTATGTATGTATGTATGAATGTTGTTTTGAAAATTATGCAAAGATTCCATAGTATATATATATATACATATACTGATTTTTATTAAATTTATATACATACATATTTACAGGTTTAGAACTAGTAGCATATCTTAATACTAACAACAATTGCTGAACATTATTTATTTATATTTTTCTTGTTTCCTTTTTCGTTTGAGCAAAACTAACTAATTAGCATTTCACAAGACTACTTCTCTAATTAGCGTTTATATGGTATACTATATACAACAATTTAAAGATGCATACAGTTATCGATTTCACACTATTTTGACTTGTTTCTTGATGGATCTAACGTACTATCAACTTTTGTACATATGTACGCCTTGAAGATTTTTTATTTAAAAATTGACAATTTAAGAGAAGAAAAAAATATTTTGAACGACTCAAATAGGAAATGACGAGAAAATCACGAAGGAATGATGATTAAGTTCAGCTGGATTAAATAAAAACTAATTATTGGGAAATATTTCAAAGTGTTAATACAAATAGTAAGGAATAACTGGTTTGAAAATACAATGCAACAAACAAAAAGAACATAACTAGAAACTCATTTTTACAACTACTTACATATTAATAAGTGCGCAAAGTTAATATTATTTTGGATACTTGTACAACACACTAAATTGAAACACCAAATGAAGACATTTCTCCAAACAAACAAAAAAAAAAAAAAAATTAAATGGACCGTGAAACAGCATTTATTTGCCTTAGATGAACTAACTCAGCTGGTAGTACTCTGGTGCAAAATCATTTGCCAGATTGCTAAGGAAGTTGAAGTCCGATGAGCTGTTTGAATTCTCCATGCCGGTTAGATTTCCGCCAGCCGCGGCGACGGGTCCGCCATTGCCTGCCATCGGATAAGCGGCGGCGCTTGCCGGCGAACCGCCATTCAGAGCGAAATTATTTGCGCCGATGTTCATTTGACCGCCCGTTGCCTGATGGTGTGGGTGTGAATGCGGTGGATGGTGATGTGCTTGTGGATGGTGTGGTGGCATGCCGCCAGGTTGCTGCTGCAGCTGAGCTTGGCCATTCTCGTAAAATGTGGCGAAATTGCCGTAGCTGCCATCACAGTTCTCCATTTGCACACCCAAAGCGCTGGCATTGGGCGGCATGTAGACATCGGCTGATGTGACTGTCGGCGCAGCGCCGGCGCCAATCTTCATATGCGGCGTGCCATCCACCATGAATTCGGCTGGTATGCCACCAATGTGCTGTTGTTGTTGCTGTTGTAGCTGTTGTTGAACGTCGTGCGCTTGCTGGTGTTGGTGAAAGTCGGGATGAATTTGTTGTTGATGCTGTTGCTGTTGGAAATTCAAGTGTTCGTAATACGCAGCGGTTTGTGACTTGGCTTCGTAGTAATTGCCGCTTGCGTTCAGAGATGTCGCTTCGAACTCAGCGCCAGCATGATGATGGGGATGCATGTACACACCACCGTTGTCCACCGCGTGGTGATTATAGTTCATATACTGGCCAGCGGCACCTGGCGGCAACGGCTCGCCACCATGATTGTAGAAAACTTGCTGGTGTGGTGGTGGCTGTGGCTGGTGGTGAGTTTGCGCGTGTTGGAATGCATTGACAGCTGCTGCCTTGGCTGCTTGGAATTCATGTTGAAGTTTCGGGTTGTGGATGTCGGGCGAGAGTTTGCTAATGAAGTCCGGTTTGGCGCTCGGATATTCACCATTCGACTGGTGTTGCAGTTGGCTGTTGTTTGGCATTTGTTGCAACTTGTGGTGTGGTGGCATTGGCAAGGTCGCTTGCGGCCCGTGTTGTGGCGAAGCAGAGGCGGCGAATTCGATGTCGTACTTGCCGTAGTAATCGTGCGGCGATTGTAGCTGCGCCGACGGCAGCTGCGACTGTGGCGGTGGTGGGTGCAGTTGCGACTGCTGCGCATGGTGTAAGTGTGGCCGTTGTTCGTGTTGGTTGTGTTTCGGGTAATAGCCACCGTGGAAGTACGCGGCCATGCCGGCACGCCCACTATTCTCACTATTTCCTGCGTTCGCGTTGTTGCCATTTTGGAAACGTTTTCTGCGCGAACCGCCTTCGGTGTTGGGACCGCAATTGGAATTCACCGCCGAATGTGCGTCTGAGTTTCGACGAAATCCACCGCCACCCGACAACATTGCAGCGGCGTTGCCAGTAACGTTGTTGTTGCTGCCACCATTTCCGACCGGTGAATCATAGGGGAATGGCGACGCTTTGGTGGATGTCGAAACGGCCTCATTTTTGACCACCTGCTCAATGCGTAAGCAAAAGGGGGTAAACTGGTGCATCAATAAATAAAATTTATTTAGGCACTTACTTGACTGTCATCTTTTTTCTTCACTTTGATGGGACTGTCGTCGATGTCTTCGTCAAGACTGACGCTGGAAGCCACACTGGAGTCGGCACTGATCATATTCGACGCGGAAACAGTTGAGCTACCAAGCAGATTTGAGGATATGCCCGATTCCAAGGTCGAGTTCGGCGTCACTTTAAAATGGAGTACACAAAATTAAATCTTTTTTTTATAACTTTAAGTTGCTTTTCGCCAGAGTTTTACTTACAACTTCCGGCGCTCGCGTTGTTATTGGTCGCACTGGGTGTGTTGTTGTTGTGCCCCCGTGAATTCGAGGTGGAATCTGGTATATCATCCGACGGCAGCTCACAGCCTTGACAAGACTTCTTCGAGTTGGAGTCTATATGTGAGGTTAAGTGGAGAAATGTTAGTTAATATAAAAAAAAAAAAAAAAATGCCAGCGAGGGAAAGTGTATGCGAGGAGTAAGGGATTTCTAAGGTTATTAAATGAGCTAACTAAGGAAAGATATTAATTCCTTTGCAATTTTTGATTTGACATGATGAATTTTATAAAGAGAAAATTGTGGAGCCTGGCTTCGATGCCTTTTTTTGTAATATCCGCATGTATATACATATGTATGTCAGAGGTACAAGAAAATATTACTCTTTAAGTATGACCAACGAGTTATTGAGTCCATTCCATATAATATTAACATTTCTTAAAAAAAAAAACTTTAAGATCGAATTTTCACATGTGAATACTTAGATGCAGAATAGCAACAAAATCGTTCCATTTCCACTTACGACAACTTCAAGCGGAACGGGCGTGGTCGAATCGCGGTGATTCGGCGCAAAAAGTTGGTAAAGCCGGGATTGGCGATGAGGAAGGATTGGCAGATAATAATCTACTATGAGTTGCTTTTGTTGTTGTTGTTGTAACGGTTATCAAGTTCCCGTTAGAGTGGTAAGGTTCAGATATGTTGTCATCGAGGTCATCCAACGGTAAGCCCAAGAATCTCGCTGTGTGGACGCGGTTGAACCATAGGTAGGCGGGTCTAGGGTTAGCAGGACATGCAAAGAGGTGGTTAGAGTCATACGGGAACTCGTTGTGTGTTAGACATCTGTTTGTTTTAAGGGGGTTAATTCTAGGTAAGTAGGAGTTCAATCTGCTGCAGTATCCAGAACGAAGCTGAGCAAGGGTCACTTTCAATCCTCTCGGCAACTCGAGCTCTTCGTCTGCAATGGGAATTGGTTTGACTCCAAGTACGCCATTCACTGAGAGGGAGTGAGTGAAGGTGTTTATGGCTCCACTGTGAATGGCAGTGAGTGCACATCTGAAGTTAGTTGCGTTCGAAGTCCGGTCGGTTTATTGTCTTCTGTCGTCGACGCAGTTGAGCAAGGACCTCTTGATGCTCTTAGCAGTTGATTTCGCCGTATCCGACACTAAATAATTCAGTGATTAAAGAGAAGCTTGTGAAAATCTCTTTTTTCACTAGCAAATAGTGATTCTTAGAGTTAAATTAATGGATTTCTTTTGCTTGACTGAGTCGCTTTATAAAAATTATTTTCGGATGGGAATTCTTGTTAACTCTTTGCCGTCTGATGGGTCGTCTTGCATTCTCACCTCAGGATCATACAAAATCAATTATGGCATGTATTTCGATATTAAAGTATTTGGAACAATTTAGGTACTCCTACAAACTATTACATCAAGTTGGTTGGGTGCATGTTGCTAACAGGCCACCCTGTATTTTAAAGTCTTACATGTTTTAAGAAGAAGTTCTGAAAGCGTGTGCTTCATTTTCATTAAAAGGGTTGCAATGTACGTGGAACCACAGAAAACATCTCCCCAAAAGTGATGGAATGAAGCGCAGCGGTGAAGTGTCAACGGCACAGAAAAGAAGACGCGAAGCCAATGACAATGATTGATAAGATTATTTTCCATTTCGCCGATTTTGTTACAAGTTGTTGAAGTACCTCTGTACACACATACATAGGTATATACATGAGAACATATCTTGTGACAGCAGAAAAGCAGATTTAATGGAGCGGTTTCGCGCTTAAAACTATCCTACGACGGTTTCTATGGTCTTAAATAATAACTGTGCTCTATGATAATTTGTATTTTTATTGTGCTAGAAATACATGCGTATGTTTGGGTTTGTGCTCGTTACCCTAAAGTGCGAAACTAAGTGGAAAACCAATTATCCAAAAGAGAAATTAAGGATAAAGCACTTACTACTATCAGACTGATCATCATCACCTTTTAGACTGTCTTTGTTGTCTTCATCGTCCGTCTTCGATAAAGTTTGACGCTTATGCTTCATTCGTCTATTTTGAAACCACACTTTGACCTGCAAAGAGAAAATATTATTTCACATTTTACATATGGATCGAACATCGTAGAAGTGTATGTAGAACTGCGCTCACCTGTCGCTCGGTCAGATCTAAGCTCGCGGCAATTTCGATTCGTCGCGGTCGGCACAGATACTTGTTGAAATGGAACTCCTTTTCGAGTTCCAGCAGTTGTGTGTTGGTGTAGGCAGTACGCAGGCGCCGGGGGAGACCATTTTCTGGAACGAATTCAGCTGCAATTGAAAATTGCATTTCCTTGATACTTGAGTAAATGTGATTTTGAATTGAGTGTGTTTTCATATTAAAGTAGGGCTCTCGCGTCTAAACGGCGACTAGAGCGAAATTGTGGACTAATTTGCATTCGTTTTGAGTGACGGCATTATCTTATGTTATAGTAAATAATTTTTTGGTGCAAATATAATTTATCAAAAGCTTTAATAAAGCGAGTTTTGGGAATTATTTGTGAAGCTGTTGAAGTAATGATATACAAAATTTCATTTCACCTTGCGTTAATAACGCTCTTACCGCGTAACTTGCCACAAATGAAGTTGTTAAGTAAGGAATAAGTAAGCAGCGCCCAACTCGCAATGCAAAGTAATTAACAAAATTCTAATCAATCAATCAAAAAGCGCCAAGCAAGTGCCACGACGCTCGCTAAGTGATGCTCGCAACGTGGCTTTATGGACTGCTGAAACGTTTTGGGAAGAATGTGTGACAAAATTGAAGTTTACATAATAAGAAACCTCGTTTTCAGCTTTAAAATTGAGTAAAATAATCAATAGTTCGTTGTCTAGAAAGCTCTAAGAAAAAACAAATATACAGGGTTTTCCGGTAAGAGTGATATGATTTCTTAAAAAAAGTGTAAGTAAATTTAAGAAAATTTATTTGTTTATTATTTAATATTACAAGCGATACAACTGAATTCTGAATAAAACTTCATTCAAATGACCTCCACGACTTCCTTTGCAGGTACGAATTCGATGAACCCAATTTTGAGTACTTTTTCCACTAAATCAAATCGTATGTCATGAATAGCACTTTCCAAATTGCCTTCTAAAGCTTGAAGAGAGGCCGGTTTATTACTAAAGACCAATAACTTCAAATAACCCCACATGTAGTAGTCTAATGGTGGTAAAACAAAACTTCTGGGAGACCACTCAACGACACAATTTATTGAAATTATCGCATCTCCAAAATTTTCTCTCAATAATTCGGTCTTGTTGAAACCAGATATTGTCAAGATCAACTTCTTTCAATTGCCGTCATAAAAACTTAGTTATCATCGATCTATGCCGCTTTCCTGTGATAGTAACGGAGTCACCAGCTTCATTTCGAAAGATGTATCGACCATTGATGCCACCAGACCAAAAACCACACCAAACTGTCAATTTAGGTGAACATAATGATTGTTCATGAATGACTTGCAGATTTTCTGCGCACCAGAATCGCATGTTTTGAGGCCATTTTTATATGGTTTGATTATATGGTTTCAAACCGCTGAAGTTCTTTCTCAAAATACGCTAGATTTTAGTTTGAGACAGTTTCAATTCTTGAGAACGTTTTGGAATCCATAAATTACGGTCTTCAGCAACACTTGCCAGAATGGTAGCAATGTTTTCATTAATTCGAAAGGTTCTTTGTCCTATTGGCACTTGAACATTATGTAAAGACAGTGTAGGGAGAAACTGTCAAAAATTCAACGAATAGCAAGCACAGGTGAACGATTATTATGATCATAAAAATGCGTACCATTCTCATCGGAAAGTCAAGTTTTGTTTTGTTTGAGCAAATATCTTCAATTGCAAAAAAGTGCTTTGAATTATTGAATGATGCCAAATGAACTTCTTCATCAAAAGAGCGGATACCATAAACCAAAGTTAGCAGTTTTGCTGTTGCTGCACTCGTTCACAGCCGATATGCGGCAAGTGTCCTTTGTAGCCGGAATTCGTTCGGAGCACATAAATAGTTGCGAACAAGCTTGAAGTCATCAAGTGCGAAATGTGTAGATGCACACAGTTGCATTTGCATTGATTTCCAGCTGCAACAACAAAGCCACACACACACACATATATAATGTCAACTTAAAGCGCCTATTTGTATGCTAAGCAAAGCAGCAGCGCCACCCATCAAACACACACAGCCACAGCAGCACAAAACCAAAAAGGTAAAGTGCACAAAAGCAGAAAATATGATTTCCTTTTTGGCGACGAGTGAAAAGATAATTTTCTAAATACTCGTATGCCTTCGAGCAGCTGCAGAGCACGTCGTACGAGCGCATGAAGCTTGTGACTTTTGTAAAGCAGAGAATGCATAACCTGAAAGGAAGTACATATTTTCCGGCACAAAAGCAAGGATTCACCTGACATGTGCCAAAATTATGGTTCGAGTCTAAAACCACACAGCTCTCGCAAGACTATAAGTGTGCAGATTTATTGTGGAATGTTCTTGCTAAAGGTTCATACTTATGTGTATACCTATATCTACTTATGTACTGCATATACATATATATATATGTGCAGAGATTCGGCGTTTACATTTGGTGTTGATGTTCTAAAGAGGTTTGGCGTTGGAAAATTAACCAAATAAATTTCAAATGCCATTTCAATATTTGCTGCGCAGCATTCAAGCAAATCGTTCCTGGATAATTGCAAGTCAAATGTAGGTAATCATTAAAATAAGCTAAATTATTTAAGTTGTATATACGATACTATACAGTCCAAACCTAATTTCACTCAGTTAGGTCTGTTTGTTTGCGGATCGAAAGGTTTGTCTGAGATTTTTTACATGAAACAAATTTGGTTGAATGCTTTTGTTTTACTGGAATCACAGGCTTTGAAAATGTTGTAGAAATTTTTTGATGAGCCTATGTTACTTGATTATGAAAGCAAGCATTCAGTGAAAATTACGAAGTCACTGGAAACTTGCTTCACTGCAGAGGTTCTCAACAACTCTTTTGGATCGACTCAACCATTTTGATGAATGCTTTAGGCATGAAGCGTGTTAATGCAAGCCACGTGCCAAAACACCTAAATCTATTGCAAAAATGACGGCGGGTAGAGGAAGAAAGAGATGCTTGACAACGAAGCTAAGGGCTCTATATTAATTTAGGGGTTATATGGGTTGTACGGGTTTCAAAAAATGGAATTAGTTTTATTGTTTTATTAAATTTTACAACACTTTTTAAGAATATTGTCCTAAGTTGATCCGAGTAATAGTTTGTATCTCCTTGAGAATTTGTGCGGTCGAGGCCAGCTAGGCTAAGTGCGTCGTCTTTAAACGCGGTTTCCTCAAAACTATGCAACGGTTGGGAAGATTTCTCGAGAACTACTCAACCACACTTCATGAAATTTTACACAGGTCTTTGGGATACAATTCTAAAAGACTTTAACGAATGATTTTTTTTTTTCAATTTGCGTCGAAATTTTAAGTGTTTAGTAAATATTTCTGCCAAAAGTTCAATTTTCAGTCTTTCTTCCTTCGTCCAAGTTCTAAGTTAAGGTTTTAACAAAACCACGCATTCTTCACTTTAGATGATTCTGTTATGAGTTAACCTACAAACGCGGGCACACAATTTTTCCGAGGGGTCACCGGAAATGGCATCGCAATAGCCGAGTTTAGAATATTTGTTTCCAAAAATTAATTCAAATTCTAATAAATTAATTTTTTATATGAGAAAATAATTTTTGAAATTGTTTTGCTAGCTTTTTACCCAAGGAAACCCATGTAACCCCTAATTCATAACGAGACGTGGGTTTATATAATACATTTGACGTAGTAACTGTTCAACAAAATACAAATATGAACCGAAAACGCAAAACCAAAATTCCCTGAATACACTGATGACCATCGGTTCAGTTCAGGTTCAATGGTTTAATTTAAAGACGATAATAACGGTTTGTATTAAAATAATCACAAATATTATTTTTTCTATAAATCTGGATCCAATAATTATAAGATAATAATAATTATTATAATTCAACAATTTTTCTTGCTAACCGAAAATATCCGAATTTTTATCACTTGAAAGCTACAGTATTTTGTTGAAATATCTAAAGGGTGTACCAAAATTAACGCAAGATTTAAATTGCCACTTGTATAATAAATTACAAACCTAAAAAAACTCAAATCGATAGCCGACAATTTAGGCTTAGTAAAAATATAGCGTTACGTAATAGAACAATGTGTATTATTGACCATTACTTCAAAAGTATTGTATTTAAAACTTGACAGCCGGAGTTCGAAATGCATCCACAACGTGCCACTGTTTGGTATGGATTGTGTGCTGGAGTTGTAATTCGGCCCTACTTTTTGGAGAATGAGATGATTTTCGGGATTCTTTAAAATCACAATTCTATTGGAACAATGCCACAACCACATGCAGGGCGGATCCCCTCCGGATGACTCCGCAGTTTCCCCTACCAAAAGTTCAAAATTATACAATATTTCCATCATAAGTGACATTCTGCGAAGAAAAGCACTTTGAGTTGCAGGTACAAAATTTTATAATTCCTCTTCCAAAATTATACTCTGGAGCCGCCCCTGGCCACGCTTGCATTGAAGGCGATTCAACGTTGCATCATTGAAATTCAGCCGCATTTTTGTAGAATAGTTATGTAAAATTTCGACATACGAGTGCTTATATGTATAGAAAGCCGTGGAGGCCATTAGCCCGATGTGCTTTTCAATAAATAACTCTGTCTTGAGTGCTTTATGATTCAATAAAAAATTACAATCAAAAGACCAAAAAGTATATTTTCTATTCTAAGAAGGCTAAAAATGTAAATAGTGTATAAGGTCCTGATACTGTAATAGAAACTGCATGGGTGCGGCATTTTTCACGCAAAATTATTAAAATTTCCATCTGCGAATCGCATCAAAACCGCACCATGTCTGAAACTGGTGGTTACTGGTGATGGAAAGTGGGTCATGATCGAAACGCGGCGAGTCGGCTCAATCGAGGGTCAGGTTCGATTTAGTGAGATTTGCAGGGAATCATCTACAATGATCTGTTCCCTTACGACCAGACTCTTAAATCGCATCTGTACTGTCGATAGTGATTCAAAAGAACCGTGTATATGTGCCTAAATGATCTTGGATCCTTAAACTACGCAACAGAAAACTTGTGCACATTTCTTTTCTTACAGGGCATTTTAAACATTAAGGCACTAATTCACATGTTAACACTTGCGTTTAGTTGCTGGAAGCTCTTCTTTTTATCTACATAACAGTATTT